GAGGGGGGGGGGGGGTGGAGCCAGGCAGTGACCCGGAAGCAGAAGTGAGTCCCACAGGCTGAGTGCTGGAGAGCTGCATCGGCGATCGCAGCGGTAGAAGCAGCAATTTATCTGTGTGCAGCCCCAAACTGGGAAGAAGATGCTAATTAAAGTGAAGGTGGGAGCACCTCCAGCCTTGCCAAGACGCAGTGGTACTGGGCTGGCCGCTGTTCGTTAAGGGAGAAGCCGGGAAGGAAAACCACGCCTTTCCCGAGCCTGGAGAGGGCTGACAGCCTCGGGGCTCCGCGCGAGGGGTGATGGGATGTAGGGGGGGGTCCCCAAAAGGGCTTCGAGAGCAGGGCGACCCCGGAGTCTGTGCTGTGCCTGCTTTCATTCCGGGACCGTTCCTTGACCCAGAAGGAGGCCGCCTTTGTCCGGGGTCTCGCTGTGTTCGAACCCCCGCGGTCACAGAGAAGGCCTAGCAGCATCTTGGCCCCCCTCTCTCTCGGATTCTTGGAATAAGCTCTGTTCTCCATCGTTCATGCCCCAGTTACCTGCTTCTCCCAGCCCCTAACGTAGGCTACTCCGAGTACAGCACAAAAACGTAGCCTAGGGAACCGGGGCCTCCCAGGAACTAGACTGTGAGCTTTTGCTAGTTGTCGCCAAGGTGTAGTATCTCAGCCGGCCTTCAGGAAACAAAGCTGGGAGCGTGTTCAGTTAGCACCTGCCTTTCTGAGCCAGCATCCTGGACCAGCCTCACTTCCTTGACTGAGGCAGGTTAGTTATCAGTGCCCTAGTTCTTGGTACTAGCAGTGTTTCCTTCATCTCCATCCCGCCTCCCGTGGTTCTTCACCAGTTTCCAACCCTCATTAGTCCTATCTGCTATTTCCTCCTTTGTGCCTTAAGAGGGAGGGACAAAAACTAACAACTGATGCAGTGCAACGTTAGTTTAGCATTAAAAAAAAAAAAAAAACTGCCAAGGAAGTCTATCGTTATTTCATCAGCTCCTTAGTGTCTTTATCATGCATAATAGCCATTAACCTCTTCAGTCCTTCTGAACCACCATCTTAGCTAAGGATTGAGGCCAAGCAGCATGTTGAAGGTCATTGTTTTTCAAATTTTGAGTAATAACCTATAAAACAGTCACTAGTGGTAAAATCAGTTTAATAAGTCCGTGGGTCACAAGCAACAAGAAAAAGAAAAAAATAGAGATATCAGGGTATACTTCTGGGTAAGAGGATTGTTTGTGAAATTTTGGTTTTTATTTTGTATGTATATTACATGCATGGATGTGATATTAGTTCATATGTATTTCTTAGTGTGGGTCACTGTCCAAAAAGTCTTGAGAAACATTAGCAAGTGAATGCTTATGTCATTTCAATACATATGGATTCTCAGGTTCTCTTAGTCCTCCCTTAGGCCAAAGAAGAGGTTATTACTATACTTTTGTTCAGTGTTTTGTAAACCTTTTTTTAAATCTCAACCTACACAAAAAAATTTTACTTCATGGTCACAAAATAACTGTGTGTGATATGCTCTGGTATTTTGAATTCTATTCCAAGTTGATTTCATAACCCACTGATGAGTTGAGGCCTGCAGTTTAAGAAAATACTGTATTCTAGATGGGCTTCTCAACTTAAAAATGTGTAAGAATCACCTGGGGATCTTGTTAAAATGCTGATTCTAATTCAGTGGTCTGGGATGGAACCCGAGATTCTGCATTTCTAACATTCTGCATTTCTGCTTGTCTGGGGAGTATGCAAGGTTCTACTTTTTTTGAATCCATTTGTATTTAGTACTTCTGTAAAACTGTAAGTCTTCTTTCCCAAAACACTTTCCTTTCCACCTTCAAATAGGTTTCTCTGTCCATCTTTCTCTTTCTTTTTTGTATGTTAAATACATTTTTGTATGTTAAATAAATAAAACAGTTAGCTGTGAACTACCATACAAATGATAGGTTTTTTAGCAGGGTTCCTTTGTGAATTATTCATTCTTCCACTGTCGTTCTCCATGTAGGTAACTTATTCCATATCTCTTTTTGCAATCTTTTACAACTAAATCCCTTGTCGACAGAAGGAAAAACACACAACATAAGAGCTGTGAGTTCAGTTTTATTTGGGGACTTACTGAGGACCTTAGCCCAGGAGACAGCCTCTTAGATAGCACTGAGGAACTGCTCCAAAGGTAAGTGGGCGAGGTCAGCATGTATGTGATTTTGGCAAAGGGTAATCAAGCACACATCTCGGTAGAAGGTTGCTGCTAGTCAAGAGGAACAGACATCTTAGTTAATGGTTTTAGTGCTTTTCTAAATATGGGAAGATGCAAGAATTTGGGTTCATAAAATTTTCTCCTGAAAATATCTAACTATCTAAAGGCCTGTTCTATTAATTTTCCCAGAGCACATTCCTGATGTGCCTCATTCCTGGTCTCCACCTTGAACTCCTTTCAGGCTGGGTTGAAGGTCAGCGACTGCAGTGGCTAATGACTTAATTCTTGTAGAACCAGGAGGCAAGTGACATCCTTTAGTTGGCACACTCGTGATTTAAAACTTCTCTTGATACCTCATCTTTGTGTTTCTAAAATTAAATACAACATCTTCTGTCTTAAGCCATCTTCCCCATACTCATCTCGTATATTGATCCCATCAATCTACCAGTTAGTTACCTGGAACCCAGTTCTTTAAAATCATTGTTCTCTTATAGAACCTAATTTTTCTTTTGATACATCTTTCTGTTGATTTTCTTTCTATTCCCATTACCCTTGTTCTCGTCTGGGGTCTCATTAACTTATATCTTTATTTCTCTGTGATACCTCCAGAGAAATACCTCTTGTTGGGATACCTCCAACAAGATTTTCCTACTGCCATTCCCCTCTGAAGTTTACAGTCTAGGGACTTCCCTGGTGGTCCAATGGTTAAGACTTCACCTTCTAGTGTAGGGGGTGTGGGTTCGATCCCAAAACAAAACAGAAACAATATTGTAACAAGTTCAATAAAGACTTTAAAAAATGTTCCACATCAAAAAAGTCTTTAAAAAAAATAAAGTATATGTATTTTTAAAAAATAATGATAAAGTTTAGAGTCTATACCAAAATACGGTGTACAAAATCATAGTGTACAGGTCTTCTTTAACCTTCTTTTTCATCATATTATTCCCTAACCTCAGATCATGCATTGATTCCTCTTAGCAAATTACTTTGGGCACCTGTCTTTACTATCTAAGCCCCAGTTTTCTCATTCATGCTTTTTTAAACGTAAAATAAAACACAAAGCTCTTAAGGGTTAAGTTCAAGGAGTTCTTAACAACAGTATACCCCCATGTAGCCACAGATCTAGAACATTTTCACCCCTGCCCTCTGAAAGTTCCATAGGTTAGTTTTGCTTGTTTTAGAATTTCATAGAATGGAATTATAGAATGTATAATTTTTGTGTCTGGCTTCTTTCACTCAGCATTATGTCTGTTGTTGTGTCTGTAGCTCCTTATTACTTAGTGATGCTGCATTAGATGACTATATCACAATTTGTTTATCCATTCTCCTGTTGATGGACGTTTGGGTTATTTCCAGTTTCTGGCTATTATGAAGGAGGCTTCTAATAGCCAGAAATGATGATATGAACATTGTCTTTTTGTAGACTTATGTTTTCATTTCCTTTGGATAAATACCTAGGAATGGAATTACTAGGTCATGTATAACTTTAAAAGATGCTCCCAAACAGATCTCCAAAGTATGGCACCATTTTACATTCCTACTTACAATGAGTGAGCATTCCAGCTACTCTGTACCCATCTTTATTATAGCTGTTTTAGTGGGTGTGAAATGTTATCTCAGGTTTAAATTAATCACTGTTGATTTTCCCTCACCACAGCACTTTGTCACTGCCCCTTGTATTTTGGACGATAACATTCAGTATGGCATTTCTTGTATATTGGTTTGTTCTATTAATTGTATGTCTCAGTGTCTCTTGGTTGTAAATCTTCACTTGAAAGAGATTGTTGGCAAGGGCTGGGTCACTTACCTTCTTTTCTATCCCCTACAGTGCTTATATAGCAGAATGTCAGGCTGAGGTTCATCATAGACTAGTTGAATAGCATTGAATGTATTCCCAGGTCACAATGACCAGATTTGAGGGAAGAAATCCAGTATGACATGGTCTTTTAAAATATCTTTTAAAATTGAAATCAAGAATATCTTTTAAAATTGTTCAGTTTTAAATGATTTTAATTATGACAATTTCAAACATATACAACAGCAGAGAGAAGGAATAATGCACCCTATACGAAGCTTCAAAAACGATCATCTCATGGCCAATCTTACTTTATTTATACTCACCAATTTTCCTTACCTTATGTTTTAAGGAGCAAGTCCCAGATAGCGTAGCGTATACTATTGGTATATATTTTGGTATTTATCTGTAAAAAAGAACTTTTTTTACTAACATCACCATAATTATTACACCTAAAAAATCAACAGTGATTTCACACTATCATTGTCTCATTTGTTTTTTACAATTTGTTTGAATCTGGATCCAACTAAGATTCATACATTGTAGTTGGTTGATAAGTATTTTAGGCCTCTTTAAAACTGTAATTCCCCATTTCCCCCATTTTTTTTCTTGTTGAATAATCTAGGTGGTTGTTCCCATAGAGTTTCCTATAGTTTGAATTTTGCTGATTACATCCCCATGCTGTCTTTTAATGTATTCCTCTTTCCTCTGTATTTCCTGCCAATTGGTAATAAGATCGAGAGGCTTGATTAGTCCTTTTTGTCTGTTCATGTGTGAGAATAATTCATAGGTGGTATTGTTTTGTTTTTGTTTGTTTGTTTGTTTTTGTGGTACGCGGGCCTCTCACTGTTGTGGCCTCTCCCGTTGCGGAGCACAGGCTCCGGACGCGCAGGCTCAGCGGCCATGGCTCACGGGCCCAGACGCTCCAGGGCATATGGGATCTTCCCGGACCACGGCACGAACCTGTGTCCCCTGCATCGGCAGGCGGACTCTCAACCACTGCGCCACCAGGGAAGCCCTCATAGGTGGTATTGTGACATAATTCTGTCAGGTTGTTTTGCTTTCTGCGATGTTAGTCATTGCCTAGATCCATTATTTCATTGGAGGTTACAAAATGGGGATATTCTGATTTTATTGTTGATTCCTACATTAGCTGGGATCCTTGAGCAGTGTCCAGTACAGTGGCCATTTGCCCACGTGCACTATTGACCACTGGAAATGTGCCTAGTGAGACTGAGGAATTCAATTATTTTCTTTGTATTTAATTTTAATTAATTTAATATAAGAACTGAAACTTTATTCAGTAGTTGGAAAACCTTTTAACTTGATTGGAACAAGCTGGGAATGTAAACGTACTTTTTCAACTGTAAATTGTGAAATTTAAATACAGATCAAGTATTTCAGATGATAACTTACCATCTGAATTGAGGTGTGCTGTCAGTATGAAATGCACACAGAATTTTGAAGATTTGGTTAGAAGAAAAGAATGTAAAATATATTAATAATTTGAATATATTGGGTTTCAGAATATTAAAATTAATTTCACCTTTTAAAAATGTGGCTGCTAGAATATTTAATATCGTATATGTGGCTTTCACTAAGTTTCTATCTCTAGTGGACAGTGCTGCTTTACAGAATGGTTTCCTTATACTCTCATCAAGGACATTGTTGTAAATGTTTTTTCTCATCCCAATGTATTCATGGTATTAAAAAATGGAAAATACAAGCACAAAGAAAATAATTTAAATCACCCATAATCTCAAAACTCAAGATAAAAGCACTGATGTCTACATCCTTCCAAACTTTTTTGAAAGCATATAAATACATGTATGTGTGTGCTTATTTATTTAGTTACAAAATAAGAATTATACTGTTAGTCTAAACATTGAGAACTGTGTGATTTTCCCCCCTGTGTTTGTACCATAATTTATTTAACCCTCAATTGTGTGATATTTAGATTGTGTTTCTAGTTTTTCAGTTTCAAAAAGTTGCAATTCATTGTCATAGGTATATTTTTGGTCAGAGGATTATTTTCCCAGAAGTATTATTGCTGGGACACCATATGCCAGACTGCTCTCTGGATACATTTATAGACTTCTGTAGTCTATCTCAGAAACGAAGGACCAGTGCTAGAGTTTTAGATTTTATAAACCAATAAGTTTTTTCAAATGTCATAAAGCCCAAGCATCTGACTCTTGGGAGAGCAGTTCTAGGCTTTCTGTTAGAGTCTTTTGTACTCTTTAAAAATTGTTCTTATTAAATCAGAATGAATATTTATTAATATTCATGTGATAAAGGAATATATTTTTATTAGATATTTTATTAGATAGTACAGATAAAGGGAGAGTTAGCTTTGGTCTCCTCAATCCTACTCCCCTTTTCAAGGATCATCATAATTTTAGGAGATAGGTATACTTTTAATCCTTTCTTCTCTGCATGTATGTATGTATATATTTACATATAGAAAATGATACATAATCATACATTCTCTAGCTCTTTCCATGTTAGTGTATAAACTGTTGCATAATAAATATATCATTCTAGGGCTTCCCTGGTGGCGCAGTGGTTGAGAGTCTGACTGCCAATGCAGGGGACACGGGTTCTTGCCCCAGTCCGGGAAGATCCCACATGCCGCGGAGCGGCTGGGCCCGTGAGCCGTGGCCGCTGAGCCTGCGTGTCCGGAGTCTGCTCCGCAGCAGGAGAGGCCACAACAAAGGCCTGCGTACAGAAAAAAAAAAAGATATATATATATATATATATATATATATATATATAAATAAATAATTCTATGGTTGTACCATAGTTTAATAGTTTTCCTATTAATAGGCATTAGGCTGTTTCTTGTGTTTTGCTTTTATGAAAGGTGTTGCAGTAAACCTCACATGCTTCTCTTTGAATACGTACTCAAATTTCAAGTTTTTCTTTAAGGTTAGTTATCTAGAAATAGAATTGTCTGGTTAAAGAGTCTTTGCATTTAAAGTATTATGATCAATAAATTGAGATAATTTGTGGACAACATGGAATTGCATACTTTTCATTTCTTCAGGAAGGAGCCTAAAAAAATACCATATATTGTCACTGTCATTTCATAAAAGGACATTTTAACACCTGAAAATATTTAGTTTCATGAAAATCTCATTGTTGTCATTATTTTTCTCATTTTACCATAGACTATTGAAAATTTTCAAACAGACCAGCTCGAGTTGGGCTGGAAACTTGAAAATTACTGTTGTAATTTATTCTTTTGCATCCAAACAGGTCAATCCAAAGGAGGTACTCTTGCATTTTTTGAAATATCCTTAGTAGTGAACCATTCTCATGGTTGAGAAATTAGATCCTAAGTACTTTCTTCATGCTGGTCTTTGTGAATACCATAAGTAGGAACCATATGTTATTTTGTGAGTCCACCACAGGAGTGTACATTGGGTCTCAATACTAGATCAGCCAGACTTGGGCAGTACTGAGTACAGAGCTGAAAGCTCAGGTTCTGGGGCCAGAGAGTTTGTGTTTGGATTCATACTCTCCTTTTGACTTCATAGGCATGCTTTTTAACCTGTCCAAACCCCATTTTCCTCAACTATAAATGGTGATAGTAATAGTACATATCTCATAAGTACTTGCAAGGATTAAATGTATTGATGCATGTAAGATACTCATCGTAGTTTCTAGGAAACTTTCAATCTTTCAAACGTTCAGTCTTTCAAGGAAGACTGAACAGTCTCTGTCCTTTAGGGAGCTGGAGTATAAATTGGAGAGTTCGACACTTAAACAACTAGCTGTAAAGGCTCTTAAAGTGTACTGGGGACAAGTCATCAATCTTAAAGTGTCCCTTGAAGGTTTGCAAAAGAGCGGAAGAGGGCATGGCAACAAGAAAAACAGTAGAAGCAAGGAAAATGCCCCTAAATTATGGATTACTGTAGACTGGTGCAGATGGAGTTTGAAAAGCAAGGATGGATGGGAGATTAGATTGGATGAAGCATGTTTATAAGTGTACAATGAGTATAATTATTGTGTTTGGATATCAGCAGCCCTTTGCCTATAGAAGAAGTCAAGAAGACCAGAGCTGCAATTTAGGATTTAGGTGGAAGTCTGGAGAAGATATGGGAGAATAGAATGTTGAATTCTAGTATTACTTAAAAAGTTGGTCAGGGACTTCCCTGGTGGTGCAGTGGTTAAGACTCTGCGCTCCCAATGCAGGGGACCTGGGTTCAATCCCTGGTCAGGGAACTAGATCCTACATGCATGCTGCAACTAAGGGTTCACATGCCACAACTAAGGAGCCCTCGAGCCACAACTAAAGAGCCCTCCTGCCACAACTAAGACCCGGCGCAACCAAATAAATAAATAAATAAATATTTTTTTAAAAAAATAGTTGATCAGAGGTGATCTCCAGTGTCCTTGAGAATTCTTTGAGTTATCTGAATGTTAATTTCTAGCATTGGTACATAAGACAAGGTCCTTCTCAAAGGAATACTTTCCTTAGGACAATTCTCGTTGCTGTCTTATCGAAAGGAGTTATGGTATTCTCTTGGATTCTAGCAGAATGGGAGGTGAGATGACCTGTGAGATTAAAAGGGTCAAATGGTTTACAGAATCTTCCCCTATCAAAGTTGTTCACAGCCTAAAAATGTCTGAAATCGGGTGTGGTCAAAATTTCTGACACTTCAAATCAGCTTTGAGAATGTGCATTTCTCAGAAGGTAGTAGATCCCCCAAGACTAGGCCAGGATGTTTTACCTAGGAGACAAATTGTATAGTGGGCTATAGGATTCATGAAACCCTTGCCTGTTTCAGACGCTGACCGGAAAGGAGATTGAGATTGACATTGAACCCACAGACAAGGTAATGTACGCCCAATACCTCTCCATGCCTATCTCCCTACATGTACACTTGCTTGGGTATGCTGATGAACTGAGTCCTTCCGCTGTCATAGTCTCTGCATAGCTCTTGTTCTTTCCCGTTCCACGGTCCTTCCCCCTGAGCACCCCCTGACTACTTGTACCCCTAAAGGTGGAGCGAATCAAGGAACGTGTGGAGGAGAAAGAGGGAATTCCCCCACAGCAGCAGCGGCTCATCTACAGTGGTAAACAGATGTAAGTTTGGAATGGGAATGAGGGCGTGGCCATCTTATGTGAAGATGAAGATGCAAGTACTGGAGGTGGAGCAGGCCTGCCTTTTTTTTGTTGTCTCAGACCCTTTGGCAATTTGATGAAGGCTATGAACCCCTTCTCAGAATTAGATTTTTGCAGACATAAAATAAAATGCATGGAATTACAAAAGAAACTAATGGGATCGAAATACACTTATCACACTACTAAAAAAGCAAGTTTGTGATATATGTACTTCATTAAGATCTAATGATGGATATAATTACTATAATTTTAAAAGATTTTCAAGATACCTACGAACAGTTGTGAAATGATAGGGAAATAATCTAATTTTTGTTGTTAACAAGTTACCCATATTGCTAATAATACCCCTGTGGGTTTTTTGCCTGTGTTCAAAACTGAAAGAAATATCAAATTTCAGTTAAGGGTTAGTAAAAATATAAAGATTTAATTTTTTTCTCATCTGCATTCATAGAACCCCAGACAGGTCCATGAAACCCAGGTTAAGAACCTTGCTCTAGATGGTATTTCTAATACCTTTTTTCTTTTTTTTTTTGCCTCTTCCTGCAGGAACGATGAGAAGACAGCAGCTGATTACAAGATACTGGGTGGTTCAGTCCTCCACCTGGTATTGGCTCTGAGAGGAGGAGGTGGTCTTAGGCAGTGATGGACCCGCCCTCCATTTCACCTCCTTGCCCTGTCGCTCATTATGAGTAATCATGTATCCTCTCACACTGTGGGACACCAGAGCCACTGCCCCCTCTCCTGGATGCCCAGTCTTGTGTGTCTGTTGGTGGGAGACTGTGAGGACCCCAGGATGCAGTGTTCCTGGCCCGAAGGGCCCTTGCTGGCTATTGGGTTTTAGTTTGCAGTCCTGTGTGCTTCCCTCTGTTAATGGCTATGTCCCTGGTTGTCAATAAAATATTTCCTGGCCTCCTGGAATCTTTCTTCTATTGCACAAACATGACTGAAATCAAAATGGGCCAATGCACACTCAGTTACACCAGGCTGAAGGAGTAGGACAGTGTAAGAGAATGTGCCCTTAGAGGGGTTCTCAGACTCTTAAGAGTCTACACTCAGTGGTGTGCTGGAGCCAGCTGTTAACCCGCTCCAGAGCTAATTGTTGGCATCTTTCCTAACCCCATATTAAGTGACTTCATGTTGGTAGCTTGAAATTGCCCATGGTAGGAATATTTACAGAAATTGACAAGCGATAGAAATCAGTCCTTCTGCCCAAACTGGTGGTTACATATCTGTCAGCATACTACTGACGTGGGTGGTAGAAACCAGGAGAGTGAATTCTCCCCCATTGTGACTCTACTGGACATTTGGGCCTGGTTCAAGAAAGGCATCAAGAGCTTCGCAGACACTGCATTCTTTTATGGCTGGAATATTGCTGAGGGCTCTAGGCTGTATACGGTGGAGTGGCTGATGTGGAGAAAGAATGAGTGTGGAGTGACAAGCTATGATGGGTCACTTTAGGACTCAGTTGGTGAGATAAAATGAGAGACGGGTGCCAGAAGAAAGGGCTTCCCTTTCTTGTCTCCTCTAGTTCAGTAGAAGCTGGCGAGGCCCGGTGAGGTGGAGAAGCAAGGGAAGGATATCCCTGGGAGAGACTTGGCATTGGCACTTTGCTGCGGTCCTCACCACCACCACCACCAGAAGGCGCTCTTGCGAGGTTTTGGGGCCGATCTTCCCAGCTCAGGTTGGCGGCGCTCTAGTCGCCGCTTCTCTAAGGCCCGCGGGGCGGCCTGGGAGCCGCGGCAGAAAGGCCCGCTCTGTGCGTGCATCCTGCGGGCGCGGGTCATGGCGCGGCTCCCGAAGCTCGTAGTCTTCGATCTCGGTGAGGGGCTGGATTGGGAAGAGCTTCGTAGGGCACAGTTTTTTCCAAACTCCAGTTGATGCTCTCGAGGCCCTGCGCCTGCCCAGGCTGAGACCTCCCCCTCCTTCCTCTCACAGATTACACGCTGTGGCCGTTCTGGGTGGACACGCACGTAGACCCCCCGTTCCACAAAAGCAGGTGAGGCGGGGCTGGGGAGGCCTGGGGCCAGGCGGGGCCCTGCGGGAGCTGAGCACACTCTCGCCCTCCCCAGTGATGGAACTGTACGAGATAGGCGGGGCCAGGCCGTCCGACTGTACCCAGAGGTGCCTGAGGTCCTGGAAAGATTGCAGGGCTTGGGGGTGCCCGTCGCGGCCGCTTCACGGTAAGAAGAGCGACTGAGTCGGTCTAATGCTGAGAGGTGCATGCATGAGGAGACTTCCCGTGTAACCCCTTGGCTGCAAAAATTTAGGCGGTGCAAACTTGCAGGTATTTGTATATTTTTCGAATTGTGCATTTTGTTTAATAAACATTGGCTCAGTACCACCTGTGTCAGGAAGGATATGGAACTGAATCAGGGCGGAGGATGCCTACCCATCCCGGAAGAACAGCAAGTTGATTTCCCCCTGGTTACACATAATTTCACTTGCAGCCTTGGCCCTCCACTCTCCTGATCCCATCTACTACACCTTTTTGCAGGACAGGTGAGGTTGAAGGGGCCAACCAGCTACTGGAGCTCTTTGACCTTGTCAGATACTTTGTTCATCGGGAGATCTATCCAGGCAGCAAGGTCACGCACTTTGAGAGGTACGCTGAGATAAGGGGAGAAGCAGGGAGACAGAAGACCAGAGAGGCTGGAGGAGCTAAGAAGCCAGAGTGGTTACCCTCGCCGTGTCTTGCACAGGTTGCAGCAGAAGACTGGAGTTCCTTTCTCCCAGATGATCTTCTTTGATGATGAAAAGCGGAATATTGTAGATGTCAGCAAACTGGGTACTTAGTGGCAAGGAGAGCCATTTGGGGAGTGAGGAGAAAGGGTTCCTAAGAGGGAAGGGGTTAGGTAGATATGTACAGGATGGATAATTTGCATGCAGGTGACACCCCAAAAAGGTGAGAGTCATAATAGGGAGCCCTGAAGGCCTGATGAAATTGTGGCTTCTTTCTTTCTAGGTGTTACCAGCATTCATGTCCAGAATGGAATGAGCCTTCAGACCCTAACTCAAGGATTAGAGACATTTGCAAAGGCACAAGCTGGACTCTGAGGTCCAGTCCTGTGGATGAGCCTCATTTGAGGCATAGAACTGAAAGGAAATCAGGAGGGCATTTTCAGGTGCATTTGTAAATTATTAAAGTGTATTTGTGTGTGGCAGAAGAGATCTTACCCAGTGTGTGTTGTTTCTAATTTTCTAGCGTGTGACCCGGGGTGGGCCATCCGGAGGTGCCAAGACCAGTATGTGAGGCATTAGACTGCATCAGGTTCTGCCTTATAAACTTGTGGCAAACCCAAGGCTGTGATTCCCTTATGCTCTCCCCATCCCCACACCTCTCCTGAGCTCTGTCAAGGGCATGAAGAAATCTTCCACTAGCCCCAAGTAGTGGAGTGCATTACCCTGCACATCTCCTTCCAAGAAGCCAAGACTGTTTTGGGGTGGGGAGGGTGAGGCGACCTTTTTATATAGTGGGAAACGAAGCGGCCACTTTAAAAGGAGCGCGTGAGTTTGGGACTGGTGTGTCGGGTCGCACGTGATAGTGGTCTCGCTGGCGCTTGTTGATGATGTCGCCGCGGTGCCCCAAGGAGGGATTGGCCGAGGCTGGTCTCGGAGTGATGAGCACAGCACCTCCCGGGAGCAAGGCGGAAGCGTACGGGACGCCGTAGGGCGGAGGCGGGAGAGGCGAGGGTCGCGATGAGTGGGCTCGGCCGGCTCTTCGGGCGGGGTGAGCCCGGCCGAGACTGGTCCCCGGGAGGTGCAGGCCGCAGGGGGCGGGGGAAGAGCCGGTAGACGCTGTCCTGAAAACCCTGGTGGTCCAGCAAGGCCTTTTCCCGGGCCAGGAGGCGCCGCCTTGTCTGGGCGCCTGGCTCCAGCTGCCTGCCTTCCTTCCTTCCCTCGGAGGGAAGAGCTCGAGGCCCGGGAGGGGGCGCGAGTGGAGAGTGTGGCAGCTGCGCTGGCTCCCGCTGTTAAGGCTTGGGGGACAAGTTGCTGCCTGTCGGCATTCAGTCCTTTCCAAAACACTGGTGCTTCCTTTATGATGGGCCAGAGGCAATCTGAGGTTTCCCAAGAAAGGTAGCCCTCGTGAGTTCCTCTGTGTTGCGGGAAGACAAGCAAAGTCTGGCATTTACAGCGTAGTGTGGCGACTCTGTAATGGAGATTTACCTAAAAACCGGGGGTGCGCGGAAGAAGCAGGCACGGCGGGTGGTGATCCAGAAGGCTAGAAGTATGCCAAATGGGGGGTTGAGGTTCTCCAGGAAGAGGTTACTGTGCAAAACAGGCAGGAAAAAGTATGGTATATTTAGGGAAAAGGAGTTCTGGCTGCCCCGTGAGTGTGTGTGTGTGTGTGCGCGCGCGCTGAAGGAAGAGGAACGTGTGGATGGAGAGGTAAACGGGGGCCAGATCATTGAAGGACCCTGTGTGTCTTAAAGTTTTTTTGGCTTTTATCCTGTAGGCAGTGGAGAGTATGGAAGGATATTAAGCAGGCTAGGGCCTTCAGATTTTTTTTTCTTTTAATAAGTCTGTTAGAAGTGCAGAAGGTGAAGGGAGAAATTGAGATCAGATTTTTTTTTCTCTAGCCTCCCTACTTCATTCAGTTTGATCCTGTGGAATCACGACCTTGAGTATCTCCTAGGATAGCAAGTGGAACAGTAATTATAAAAAGTGATTGAACTCTGGTGGGGAACACGGTAATGAGGAGGTATGCATGTGTAGGCGCAGGTGGTATATGGGAAGTCTTTGTACCTTCCACTCACTCACTTTGCTGTGAACCCAAAACTGCTCTAAAAAAATAAATTCTATTAAAAAAAAACAACTGGAAATGACTTGAAAGGTAACTAGGAATAGCAAAAGAATATTGGCTTTGGAAATCATACTGTCACATTTCAATTCCTTTGCAGTCTCTTACTATAGTAATTGTGATTTTAGACCAAAATGTTAACCTCTTTATGCCTGTTTTCACATTTATAGAGATAGTACATTCATCGTAGAAGGTTGTTTGGGGATTAACAATAACACGGTCAAGTGCCTAGCACATACTATACACTCAATAATCGGTGGCTAATATTTTTCCTTTACACAATGTGGGCTGCTCTGTTGGACTCCAGAGAAGAAGGAGAGGGGGCCAGCCCCTGAAGAGGCAATACAGAAACTGAAGGAGACGGAGAAGATATTGATCAAGAAACAGGAATTTCTGGAGCAGAAGATTGAACAGGAGCTACAAACTGCCAAGAAGCATGGGACGAAGAATAAGAGAGGTAATGGCGGAGGGAAAGGCACCACCAGGGAGGGCCCGAGGGGGAGCAAGGGCTTCTGGCTCTGATGTTCAGGGTGTGGGCTGGATCAGCCGCCCTACAGGCTTTGCGGAGGAAGAAAAGGTTGGAACAGCAGCTGGCACAAACGGACGGGACATTATCCACCCTGGAGTTTCAGCGTGAGGCCATTGAGAATGCCACCACCAATGCAGAAGTGCTTCGTACCATGGAGCTTGCTGCCCAAGGCATGAAGAAGGCCTACCAGGACATGTGGGTACGGGGGGAGGGGAGGAGGGGGCCCAGGCACTGGGGAGAGTAGCTTGATATTGTACTGTGAATCTTAAAACCTCTCCAGATGTGAATTTACAGTAGAGTTGCCTGTGATGGCTGGACCCCTATCAGCCTCCTTACTTATTGCAAGGTGATCTCTTTGCTGGCTGGGGCATTCTAGGGAGGAAAGATGATTTTCCTCTTTTTTGTGGTTTTTTTGGCTGTGCTGCAAGGCTTGTGGGATCTTAGTTCCCGGACCAGGGATTGAACCACGGGCCCTCCTCAGTGAAAACACCCAGTCCTAACCACTGGACTGCCAGGGAATTCCCAATTTTCCTCATTTTTAAAGATCCTTCAGAGAAAAGAGTGCAACCATTCTTCCCCAGTGTGTCTTCTTGCCATTTCTTAGCCCAGATTTGCCTCTTTACACTTTTCCACGGATCTCTTTTACCTAGTAGCCATGGATTTGTCAGTCTGAAGCCACAGGCAGGAGGGTCTTCATTCATGTGAGATGAAAAAGTCAGGGTTGTCACTGATTTCTGGGCTATGTATCTTGTTCTCAGGGACATTGACAAGGTGGATGAACTGATGGCTGACATCACAGAACAACAGGAGGTGGCCCAGCAGATCTCAGATGCCATTTCTCGACCCGTGGGATTTGGAGATGATGTGGATGAGGTGATTGGGAGTGAGGGGTCAAGGAGTATTGGAGAAGGCATGGGACCAGCCAGAAGGGATGCCCAAGAGAACTGTGGGACAGGTTTGGGGGAAACTCCAAAAGTGGTATGTTTTTGGAAGTAGAATTTTCCTTTATCTTGAGCGATCTTGTTATCCCATATCCAGGATGAACTGTTGGAGGAGCTAGAGGAGCTAGAGCAGGAGGAATTGGCCCGAGAGTTGTTACATGTGGGCGACAAGGAGGAGGAACCCCCAGTCACGCTGCCCAGTGTACCGTCTACGCATCTTCCTGCAGGGCCAGGTACCCAGGGCTGTTCTGTCATCTCATGGACTTGAGAGGGTGGGATAGATATGGGGAAAAATTATTCCCCATCCATCCTGCCTGAAAGGATCCAGGCAGAGAGGGTTGCAGCTACAGTTGCACAGGTTGTTGACTGCATAAGGGCACCTGGCTGAAGGGGAATGAGGACTGAAATCAGGCCTGTGCTTCACTCAGCAAACTGTGTCCCCTAGTTTAGGGCTGCAAATTCCCGGAGAAAGAGGCAGCTTCTTCTGATTTGCCCAAAGGTGCTGTGGGAATTAGCAGCAGCCCAGCAAGCAAGACCATACCCTTAGGTTCTTTGCTGGGAGACAGCGTTCCACAGGCTCTGAGTGTTACAGGAGGGGATGGTTGGAAGTTGCTGAGGCCTTAACACTTTTTTCTTTCTCTGGGTATCCTTATCCCCAAAGCTCCCAAAACGGATGAAGATGAAGCAGCACTAAAGCAGTTGGCTGAGTGGGTGTCCTGATGAGTCTGGGCTTGTCTGCCTGACGCTGCCTTCATTGTTCTCTTTTCCTTAAGTGCCAAGTGCTAAGCTAAAGGAACATGGCCTTGTTGGGAGGTCCTGCTGAGGGTGGTAGTGTGACCCTGCCTGAGAAGAGGGTCTGTCGCCCTCCCATCCCAGGCTCAACCCTGAAGAAGGATCTTGGTGCAGGAGGAACCCCTGGGCTCCCTTTGATAGCAGTTACAGTGCCCTCGTTCGCAATAAAATTGGGCGGCTGGAACCCTAGTGCTTATACTGCCTTGTCTACAACTGAAACTCGTCTCCTGGTCCTTGGAGCTTTGTTTCAAGAAATGAGTAGTAATGAGAGTAATGAAGAGGAGTTGGAGCATAGCAGAAATGGGAGCTTGCATTATCTTAACCTACTATGTTCCAGGCAGATTCTGTTCCATCTCTCAGGCTGGTGTGTCCTAGAGCTGCCTGGTGCTGAGGGTGAGGAAACTGCCATCTGTTATTTATCCTAGAACCGTGTGGAGCTGTCCCTGAGCCTTCCCTCATTGCTTTCACCCAGTTGTGTCTCTGCCGAGAGAGCCCCGTGACTCACCAGCTGTCCCCTTACAATGCCCACTTTCAAGGGTAGGAAAGGAGACGTACGGGGATAAGGGGTCAATAGGTTTCCTTTCTCCGGAACGCACAGTTCATAGACTTGGTTTGAACTGTCACTTCAACGTGTAGGAGCAATGATGAGGGACCATGATTCACCAAGATTGTTTCAGTAGTGGGTAAGGTGGCATTTGGAGGAGGAAAGAACCAAGATATTACATACCTCCTGATACCCACGTCTAAAAGAACAAACAGTGCCGTCCCCTTGGACTGTAGACAGGCAGAGCTGTGACCAAACCGAGCAATCAGGGTAGAGCAACCTCTACCCCACTATTTGAACATTTAGAGTGCATAGAGATAGATAAAACTGAGCATGTACTCAGCCGGAATAATGAAGCTTCCCCAAAGCAGGTGTTCCTCTGAGCACGCCCAACCCACTCACCTATGAGCCACATATGCGCTACACTGTAAATTATAATGTTGACTTAACCAGTGTCAAGATGACTGGTTACAAGCTCTGGGCAGAAACACACTTCTCACCCTCAGCAGTGTTCCCTGCTAAGGTTCCCCTGAGGGAAGACTGTGACTCTAGCTGATGAAACTAAAACAGAATTAGATTTATTTTTGGTGGGAAAGATTTTTAGCCCAAGACCCTCCTGCTTTGCTCCTCTTTCAACCTCCTCCTCCTTCCGCTGTTTTCAGGTACTGATTTCCAAGGATTGGTGACGATTGGCGCTGGGGGGCTGGCACATGGCCTCAAGCAGCCTGATCTCATGGGTGGGTTGCTCAGGCTGGAACTTGAGCACCCAGGGATCCTTGATGATGTCCAGGATGGTGGCACGCTTGGTGGCTTGGCGTAGTGTCTGGAGGACCAGGTTCTAGGGCAGGGGAGAGAGAGGTCTTGGCTGAGCTGGCCCGCATTGTGCCACACAATGGGCAGCTGGACCTAAGAAAGTAGCAGGATAGCCCATCACACCACTCTGGTGAAAGGGAGTGTGGCCCTGACTTTACCCTTAAAAGCCTCCTGTCTGCTCAGAAAGCCAATACCTTGAGGGGAAGGAAAGGAAGGGTTCCTTGTGGGAAATCCTTGCAGAATCCCCTTCTGGCCTAAAGAGATAGGGACTAAAACCTGCTTATCACTCACATCCCAGGTGCAAGCCCAGAGGTTGGCCCTTTAAGCCCTACCCACTATTCTAGGGCAGGGCAGGGCAAGGGTGTGGAATGGCCCTGGTATCGGGGGGAGGCTTCCCTGGGGTTGGGAGGTCTAGGTTGAGTATTCCCTCTCTGCGGGTCACCCCTGAGGCCTCAGCCCTCCTGGGGGAGCCAGCACCTTGCACTCCTGGGAGATGGCATAGTCAGGTGGAAAAGTGACCTCCTTCTGAGTCTCTCTCAGCAGTTTCTTGAGATTGGTGTCATCGAAGGGCAGACGGGCAACCACCAGCGTGTAGAGGATGACGCCCATGCTCCAGGTGTCAGACAGGAAAGGGTTGTAGGGCAGGCCTAGCAAGACCTCCGGGCAGGCATAAGCAAAGCTGCCACAGTAGGTCTGGCTGAGGTGGCTAAAGCAGTTCCCTTGGTGGTAAGAAGGGCTACTCCACACAGACTGGCTAGAAGGCACCATCTTGGCGAAGCCAAAGTCCGTTATCTTCACGTTCTTCCGCTTGTCCAGCAACAGGTTCTCCAACTTTAAGTCCCTACCAGCAGCAGAAAGGCTGGGGGTCAGGAGAGGGCTTAGTGTTAGACTGGGAGCTGAAGGGCCAGGGGTCAAAGGCTAGAGATAAGGAAAGGCAAAGAGGGAGAGAGATGCCATTATGAGGACACAGGGCAGAGAGGAAGGAAAGTCATGGAGTTGTGAGCAGAGCCCAGAGGGAAGAGAGGATGGTACCTGAGGATCACTAGGAGCTCACCATCACTTTTCATAAAGTGCTCTGCTCACAGTGGGTACTTAACAAATGTTCTTGACCGGATGATTAAAATAAAGTGGATGAATAGGCCTAGATACTGAGGAGGGAGGTCAAGGGAAGAAAAAAGAGGGTAGAACATGGAAGACGTGCATAAAACCCCCTTGGGAGCCCAAAGGCCTCTGTCTGGGTGGCAGCGCCCTCACCGGTGCACGATGCCCTTGCTGTGCAGGTAGGCGATGCCCAGGGTCATCTGGGAGAACCACTTGCCAGCAAGGGGCTCAGAGCAGGCCCCATAGTGCTGGATCCACTCAAGGACGTCACCACCCTGAACCAGCTCCAGAATAATGTACACTCGGGATGTGGTTTCGATGGCCTGATAGAAGTTGATGAGATACTTGTGCCGCAGGACCTTCATTACCTGGCCCCAGGAGAGGGACCCATCAAACCCAGGCAGGGAGCACCCTGGCTGCGCTCCCAGCCTTCTCCTATTCTCCCACTGCTACTTGCCTAGAACTTTGCAACATAATCAAACCCCAGAGGGCTGGTGGCCTATGGACAAACCCTATGCTTTGCACTTTTTACCTCTTGAGGGTCTGGAGGTGAGGTGGAGAGAAGCTGAATTTACATCAAGTAATTTTCCTAGCTGCCTAGTGAGTCATTCAGTTGTGGTATAGGGGTTTCTGGCTCCACCCCCTCCTAACCATACCCCTTTTGAGAAGTCTTAAGCAGCTTGATACCAGCTCCCTCTTCTAGCCCCTTTCCAACCTGTATCTCACGGGGCAAGAACTTGTTAAGATAGTCCTCAGAGGCCTTCTTCTTTGAGATGATCTTGACAGCCACCATGACTTTCTGCTTTGTGTAGTAAGCCTCATACACCGTCCCATAGGAGCCATTGCCAATGACTTTGCCCACTTCGTAACCATATTCCTCCATGACAGAGCGGTAGGCTGAGGTAGATGGTGCTCCCAAGGTGTCTCCCTTCCCCATGGTGTTGGGCTTGCTGAGAGCAGGGAGCTTTGCTACTTAAAAGCCTCCTGTCTGCTCAGAAAGCCAACACCTTGAGCCTCTGAAGGCTAGGGTACCAAAGTGAAGTTAGTCTCCAAAAGCTTGCCTATGTAGTCATACAAGTCTGGGATGCTGGGCTCAGCTCTCCACTAGGAGCTTGGAGAGGGAAGAAGGGAAAAGCAGTTCTTTTTGTCTCCACTGGCTGTTGTTACTTCTTTCTCCTCTTGGTTACGGAACTTCCTAAGGTCCCATGTTCCGCACACATCATAATCCACCTTCTATCCACCACTGGCCACAAGGCTTGAGAAGGAAATGCAGTTTGGAACATATTCATTGCTGGAGGTACCTTTAAAATTTGGTGAGACTCGCTCTGTGGATCTGGTCCTTTCAACCAATCATGTTTATTGAGCACCTGCTATGTGCCAGGCAGTGTACGGAGTCCTGGGAGAAAATAACCAATAAGGTGAAGAAAGCCTCTGCTAGCGTTTATAATCCAGCATGAGAAACACCTGAGTGTCAGAATATCACAGAGAATCGCAAGGTATTGTAGAAGCGTGTTCTAAGGAACCTAACTTTAAAACGTATTCTTTTTTGGGGGTGGTGGTGGTGGCTTAAAATAACTTTTTTTTTTGAACAAATTGAGCTGGACTCAGTTGGGTAATTCAGCTGGTGGCATCATCTCAGCTGGGCTGGTTTGTTTCTGCGTATGATTTCATTATTCAGTAGAATAGCCCAAGCTCCCTCACACAGTTTGCACTGAATTTCAAGAGAAAAAAAAACAAGCTGCATGACCAATTGAGGCCTAGGCTCCAGAATCACAAAACATCACTTCCATACCTTTATATGCATAAAGATGGTTACAAAGATCACTCGGATTTATGAGGTGGGGATGGAGACTCCTCTTAACCTTGAAATGCATTCTTTTTTTTAAATATTTATTTTGGCTGCACTGGGTCTTAGTTGCGGCATGTGGGATCTTTAGTTGCGGCATGCATGTGGGCTCTAAGTTCCCTGACCAGGGATTGAACCCTGGCCCCCAGCATTGGGAGCGCAGAGTTCTACCCACCAGACCACCCGGGAAGTCCCCTTGAAATGCATTCTTATCTTGCCTTCCATGACCCTGAACTCTACAGTTTTCCTTCCATTTCTCAGGTTCCACTGGAGCCTCCCCCACCACCCACCCCTTAATCACACCCCGAGGGTTCTATTATAGGCCTTATTTCCTCAGACCTTTCCGTCCTCCCTAAGAATCTCATCGAGACCCCTCATTTCTTAACTCCAGCAAGCCTTCTGCTCCCCTCCCCTCATTGTGTTCACCCTGAAGTCGAGGGAGTAAATCTGATTTTATTCCCATAACAATTCAGTGCCTCCCCATTCTCCTTAAGATCGAATCCAGATTCTATTATGTGGCTTCAAATTTGACCCTGCTTACCTCTCAGAAATTTTGTTGTAACATACATGCAATGCTCCAGCCAAACAATTGCTTTTCCTTCATTGTTCCCTCTGTTCTGGCAAACTCTCTCCCTTCAGGACTTAGCTGATGATCTGTCTTAAGGAAGCCTTTACTGACTGTTCAGGCCCAAATTAGATGTTCCTCCCTCCTGGGTGCCCCCACAGCTCCAGTACTTTCTCTAATATGGTGTCTGTTTTTCTTGCTTGCATCTCCCACTAGGCTGTAAGGGAGGTCAGCTGATGAGAGAAGGGATATGAAGTCAAAGACTTGAGAAGAAAGGCTTGTGGAGAATGGGAGAGAGCTGATTTGGAAAATGAGCATTATTGGGCAGCACTGATGGCCCAAATGAGATTGGAAAACACAACTTATGGACACACAATTTTAACATATCACAGTGTTAAGATTATTTTAGCATTCTGGATATAGGTGCTTGAATATCAACAGACATATTGACCCAAGATTAAGGTTTCACTTAGCAGCTGCCGTGAAGGAATGGGAGAGAGGCATCAAGAACACAGGCAAGAATGTGGCTAAAATGATGGAATGCAGAATCTAAGCTGCTTGGGTTAGGAAGGCAAGCTAGAAAAAGGCCAAAGGACAGGGGGAGGGGTTGCAGGTCTCAGTGAAATGGAACAAGTTTGGTGGGAAAGACAGAGGACAAGAGGTTGTGTCAGAGGGGTTATATGGATTTAAGATGGGGGGAGGGGTGGCACACAGAGGAAATAACAAAGGAAGAATCAGAGTTATCTTCCATCTTCCAAAACAAAACAGAAACTCCAACATTATGCCATAGGCTACTGGTCAATTCCTATTTATTGACAGGCTGATCCTGCTGGCAGGGTGGTTCCAAAGTCCTGTTGGAAGCCAGATCTACATCCTCAGTCTATCAAGATGAACAACTGTCCAGGGCACACAGTGGTAAGGAGGCCCACCCAGCCCCGCCTATCTTCTGCTCCCCTGGATAGGCAGCTTGGTGGCACCTCTGTTCTCATCACGTGCAGCAGATAAACCAGTTCATTCAAGGAATGTGTATTAAGCTGCCTACTGTATACAAAAGCACTGCTAGGCTCTGAGGATACCAAGATGGATAAATTATAATCCTCCTGTGAGGAGTTAGCAATTAGCAAGGGAGACAGACACATAAGAAGTTAAAATAACAGTACGGTGAGATAAAGTTCTATAAACAAAGCCTGTAAGGCGATGTTAAGGGAAGGCTTTATAGAGAAGGTGGCATTTGCACTGTTCAAAAGAAGTCTCCAGGCAGGTTAAGTAGGGAATGGTAGATTGAACAGTCTAGGCAGAAGGAACTATATATGAAGCTTGCAAGCTTGAGAAAATATGACATTCAAGATTTCAATTTAAATACAGGATAGGGTTCCAGAGGGGAATGTACCTGGAGAAGTAATTTAAATGCAGGTCTGAGAGGCCTAATACGCCAAGCTTTTTTTGACTCTATCCTATGTACTCATGGTTAAATTTTGCTGTGCATCAAAGTCAGAGGTTGTTAAAAAATACTGATGCCCAGTCACCTCCTTCCCCAAGATCCTGATTTGGTGGAACCCAGGTATCTATGTTATTTTTTATAAATTTATTTATTTTTATTTTTGGCTGCGTTGGGTCTTTGTTGCTGTATGCTGGCTTTCTGTAGTTGCGGCGAGCGGGGGCTACTCTTTCTTGCAGTGTGTGGGCTTCTCACTGCGGTGGCTTCTCGTTGCAGAGCATAGGCTCTAGGCACGCGGGCTCTAGAGCGCAGGCTCAGTAGTTGTGGTGCACGGGCTTAGTTGCTCCGTGGCATGTGGGATCTTCCTGGACCAGGGCTTGAACTCATGTCCCCTGCATTGGCAGGCAGATTCTTAACCACTGTGGCACCAGGGAAGTCCCGGTATCTATGTTTGTAATCAGTTTCCAGCTGAATCTGATGCACACCAAGATTTGAGAACCACTGTTGCAAACTAGTGAATTTAATGAAAAGAAACAGACTCACAGATATAGGGAACAAACTAGTGGTTACCAGTGAGAAGGGGGAGGGGGCAATATAGGGGTGGAGGAGTGGGAGGTACAAACTATTGGGAGTAAGGTGGGCTCAAGGATGTATTGCACAACACGGGGAATATAGCCAATATTTTGTAATAACTGTAAATGGAAAGTTATGTTTAAAAATTTGTTAAAGAAAAGAACCACTGTTGCAGGAAATAGGACATCTTTAAGACTAAAGAAAGAAAAAATCCTTGCAGCAGCAGTATGGAAAATGGATCCAAGGGGAGAGATGACCAAGAGACTAGCAAGGTGGCTGTCATGATAATTTAGGTGAGGGGATGGGGCCTGAACCAAGGCAGCATGGAGGACAATTTGGAAGATAATTCGAGAGAAAAGCAGAGGAGGCTTGGTGGCACTGATCTTATGGGGGAGGCTGTTAATTGTGGAGGAGGCCCAGGTTGAGAGACCAGGGGGTTATCACTTAAAAAAGCCACTCTAAGTTACTTTTCTAATTACAAAATTAATTGATTGTCTAAAAAACTCAACCCCCTACTTCCTGGAACCTCACCTCCTCCTGCGGGGAGGAGGGCTGGGTCAGAGAGGGCAGAAGTGAGTAAATGAAGGGCTTTTCAAGCCAGAAACCGCTTGAGATTTTCCACTTTGTTTACGCGAGGAAAGGAAACCTTAAGTTGTTCCCAGGTGGCCAAAACGAAGTCATGGCCCCTGGGTCTGATCTCCAGAGGAATTTCCCTAATGGCAGATCCCTTGACAGGATAAACTTTTCCAGAATAATCTGCAATACAAAATTAAGAGATGCTCAAACACATGTACAGAGATAAATAAGCAAGCATGTCAAGGTTCTTTACCTGCAATTAACAACAAGCATCAGGCTGCCCAGTTCACGGGGTAAAAGAGCAAATACCCGATCTCTTTGCGTGCCTCCGCACCAAACCTGGCCCAGGCTTGCCTATCGTCGGACACGGGACGGTCGCTATACGGTCAGGGAGGCCTCAAGTACAGCCTCGGTAAGATATTTTTATTTACGGCATTTGGTTTTTGGCGAGAGGCCATTCAGGACGGATGGCAGAGCAGCAGTGAGGTGAGATCCGATTCTAGGACGCTCGTATGGGCTGTGTCCTCTGCTGTCCTACCACAGCGACGCCCAAAGCCTCACCCCCGCCCGGGTTGAGGACCTCGAACCGCCTCTCGGGGCTCGGCCTCAGCAGTCGGTGGCGAGTCCCATTGGTTCAGCCGGCAAGCGCTTCGGGCGTCCTCTAGGTGTGGGCGCGGCCGGACCCGCGGCAACGCTTATCCAAAAAGGGCGTTTGTGTCCTCGTAGCCAGGTCTCAACCGCAAACCCCACTGGAGAAACCTGGGAGCTTTGGAGCGGCCTCGGCCTGGGGGGGAGTGGCCCCCTCCAAGCTCCAGGAAAGGAGCTTTCCGCCGGGCTGAGGTCCCCTCGGGTGAAAGCGGAAGAGGGAAGACTGACGTGTCCTGAGCTGCCCTAAGGTCGCCGGGAGGGCCCCCCACCCCGCTCCTTGCCGGGCGACGGGCTAGCCCGAGACTCGCGGGGTCTCCAGAGCTGGGCCGGGCCTCCAGCCGTAGAAAGGTTCCCCAAGGGAGCACTGAAGTGAGCCGGGCGCGATGTTTTGCGGTGCGGCCGCAGCCGCTGCGATCAGGCACCGCGGCGGCCAGCCCCGTGGAAGTCGGTTGTCAAGTCCTCTCCAGGCCCCCCGCTAGCGCGCCGCTCTGGGGGAGACCCCGGCAGGAGCGCGAAGGC